TGTGATATTAAACAAACACTATTGATCCCCGAAATCCTTTGTAATACCAATGTTCACTTTGTCTGGTTTTGTTGCAGCATGCCCCATATAAGGGGGTCTGCTGCAACCCTTAGGTAACACAAAGTACATTCATTCAACAAAAAAATAATAAATAAGACTCTCTAACACAAGAAGGATCTCATTTTTCTGACCTTCCCTCGATTGTAAAATTTTAACAAACACAAAAAAGATAAGACAGTCAGAACAACTTGCTTGACAATTGATATATATATAATAAATAATTATTGTAAGGTCACAATAAAATATATAAACTACGAATTTTTTCCCCTCCAAAAGAATGAAATGTAAAATTAAAAAGATGAAAATTTCATTTATTTAAAAGTTTTTCTATTATTTTTTATTCATTACAAGTTTCAGAAAAAAAATGGAACAAACTCCTAGCTCAACGCAGGACGATATAAATTCACCTAATTCTAATTCAACGATAAGTTACTTCGGATCTTCGCAATTCACACCATCACTTTCAACAACCAATACAACTACGTACCGATGTCCTAGTTTGACCACTTTTCTTCATCAACTCAACTTATCACAATATCATCATTTATTTGCGGAAGCAGGTGTAGGAGAAAATGATTTAGAACAATTGATTGGATTTGATGAAGCAGAACTAAAAGAAGTCATGTCGGCCATATCTATGAAACCTTTTCATTCAGCAGCTTTTAAGAAAGGTGTTAGAGAATTAAGGCAAACTCTTGCTACAGGTAGTTTTCAAGAAAATATTATATTTATATATATATATTTATATAGTAAATAAAAAATTTTTCCGGGAACAGCTAATGTTTATCATCATAATGTTCCGTTGACCTTTTCGAATATTCCGCCACTTTCACCACTTCAAACATCTATGTCAGTTGTAAGTTATAATAATATATACAATAAAATAATATTATTAAAGTTTTTTTTTTTTTTATATAATTAATTTCACCAAATAAAAATTTATAAAGGTAGAGTCAGTTAATTCACGACGAAAATTAATTAAGATAGCACCAGCAGCAGATAACTCATCAAAATCATTAATCAGAATGACACAACCCACCACTACTACCACTACTACCAACAACAACAACAACAAAAACAAAAACAACAACAACAACAGCAACAACAACACAGTCAATCTAAATTCTATAAATAATGATGACTCATCAACTAGTGAAACAAAATTCATTCATAATAACACACAACTTCAAGACATCCAAGAATCATCTACAACAACAACCTTTGTTCAATCTACACATTCACCGTCATCAGCATCGTCGCCGCCGCCGCCACATCTACAGCAACATCTACAACGGATTCAAAACATTTCAACAAACGCCCTTAATGTTACACCAGGAACAAATATGCCAGATATTATTAATGCACAAAGTTCAAAAGATGTCATTATACATCATGCAACAATTTATGGTAAGAATAGTAGAAGACAGTTGACAACATATGAGCAAGCGATAAATCAAGCAGCAATTGATTTGGCACTCTCAGACCCTGCGTTAGTAGCTAACAAAGGTGCATTATTTGAAAGGGCAAAAGCCAAACTTTTACTTGAAGGTTATAATTATAAACGTGGACAATCTCGTTCAAAATTAAATCCTAACGCACCTAAACCTGGTGTTCGAGCATCCAAATCAACAATTCGTGAGAAAAGGAACGCACATGCTGCAATAACAAGTGAAAATAGACAAATTAACATAGCAGAACTTGAACGTAAATTAAAAATCAAAGAAACACAGCTTGATCTTGCACAAGAAATTAGAGGTGCAAAAACACAACAAGGAGATCAGTTGGGATTGGAAAAGGCACAATTATCATTGGAAGAGATTGAGCAAGAAAGAAATGAAATTGCTAAAGAATTGTCCGTTTTAAAAAATAAAGAGCGTAAACATCAATGGTACGAACAAAAGAAAAAGGAAAAAATGGATTCTAAATTTAGCGAAAATGTTGAAACTAATGTTATAGAAGACAATAAGATTAGTACTACCACTGCTAATACTAATAATACTACTAATAATAATCTTGGCAATAATAATACTAGCGAGTGATGGTATCTGTGATGATGATGGTTATGTGATATAGATAGATAATCGTAATGATGACAATGTGATGATTATGATGACAATGTGGTGATTGTAATGTGATATTGTTAATTACCCTTTTATTAATTATTATTCTAATATTATTATATCTTGAATTTAATTTACAAATATTTTCCTTTCTTTCTATGTACACAATTATTCCTGATTATTTATAACAAAAAAAAAACTTTTTTATAATAGTGAGGTCAAAACATTATCATTTTTTTCTTGCATATCTATCATATATTGTTTTCTTTTCTGTAGCGAAATACCATTAATTCTTGGTATTATTATTAAAAAATTTTTTTTGTGAAAAAAATTTTTCATAAAATCTTGTTAATAATTTTCATTAAAATATATAAATATAAAATAAATAAATTATTTTTTTAAAAAAAATAAAATAAAAAAAAAATTGTTCAATAAAAGTAATAGTGATGGCAAGTAATAATAATGATGGTGGTGGTGATGGTAGTGTATATATATATATATTTTTAAAAGCATATGCATACATGCCTTGGTGAACTTAAATTTTATGGTTCCAATTTTATATGTATTTTTTGATGTCTTTTAACTTGATCAGAGCGCGAAAACTTTTTTTGACATTTATTAACTGGACATTTAAATGGTCTTTCACCTGTATGCACACGCATCTGAGAAATCAAACATAAATATAAAAAATTAATTTTTTCAACAAAGAACAAAATAATAAAAATAAAAATTACTATGATGATTCATACATGTTTTGTTAAATTTGAAGATTCAGCAAACTTTTTAGAACATCCATTATATTTACATTTAAATGGTCTTTCCCCTAATAATAATAAATAATTGAATTATTTATAATTTCATTTTCTTTCTTCAAAATTAATTAATTACCAGTATGAACCCTCATATGAATAGTTAAAGCTCCTGAAATGGAAAATTCGCGACCACATGCAGGCTCTGAACATTTAAATGGTTTTTCTCCCGTGTGAGTTCTCATGTGTTGTGTCATAATGTTACCCTCTGAGAACCGTTTTTTACAAATTGTACATTGGTATGGTTTATCACCTACACACATATATTATTGTTAATAATGATAATGATTGATAATAACAATAAATATATTAAAAAAAACATGTACCAGTATGTGTTTGAATATGTCTCATAACTTTTTGTCGTTGTGTGAAAGGACGACCATTACGATCACACTTTTCCCAAAAACAAATATATTGACTTCTACCTGATCCAATATGACCTTCACTGACATGACCCGTTAATTCTTCAAAAGAACCAAATCGTAAAGCACAACCCTGCCATTTACAACCATGTCTAAAACCCATTGCTTGTAAATGATCAGCACATAAATGTTTAATCAACTCATCACTTCCTTCTTTCTCCATGGAACATGATTCCCATCTGCAGGTATTACTTCTACTACGACCTGCTACATGTAGCTTTGAAAGATGAGGAATAAGTTCATCCAATGAATGAAACACTGCTGCACATGTTGCCCATAAACATTTCGCCTCGTCTAAATTTTCAATTTCTTGATCCATCATTTTTTTTTGTAAAAATTTATTATTATTATATTATTAATGAAACTTGTGTTACTGTCACATTGATATATATTGTTTCAAAATGAATCGTGTAACAAAACCGTTTTTAAAAGCTCATTCGTTTACAATAATACAATAAGGAAAATAATAAGCCAGCAGAATTACGCCATCAAAGTCTTTTAACAAATATTCTTTCATATCGAAAGGAACTCTAACAGAACTGGCCGCGTAACCTAAATGAGTAAGTACTTGGCTATTTAGTCATAAGTCAAGACAGTTATTACCAAATTAGGATTTTAACCCCTTTTAACGCTGTAGCCCTGTTCTCCAAGAAAGTTGCGGCATTCAAGATGGTATTTATATTAATATTAAGCTGTTGATTTTCTTTAACATATCACATATTGAACATTTGAACTACAACAGATTTCAGGGACCAAAATTTAGCGCAATTGTTGATAATAATAATAGTAAATATAGAAACATTATACACACCTCACCACCTCGCAATAATTAATTATTAAAAAATTTATAGGATAATTGGATGCAATATACATAATTATTATAAACGATTGTTTAATTTTAATATCACTAAAATTCATAATGCCAAGTTTATTAAAGATTCGGTTTATATTGGATCAATATTTATCGAATGTCAGTCCTTGACAGACCTTTTTCCGGAATTCTGTTGAAAGTTCAGCACTAATTTTTCTGATGAGTTTGATGTTGCTTTCCATATGAACCCTTACTCTAAACAAGTTTTCTATGAATCTTTGTAATTTATTTCCCGAGGTGCTTTTGTATGGAATTTCCATATCACAATATTTTCTGACCCTGACAATGTATATTTTCATCCTTTCACCTAGTGATTTTATATAAATATATGATATATAGCAAAAGTTTATCAAACATATATAATCAGTTAAAAAATATGCATTTCCATAACTTTGTAGTAAAAATATTCATCAGCATTTTAAAAAAATTATCCATCAATCCGAATATGATCGAATTTTTTATGGATATCCGGATAATTGTTGAATGTGAATATCATTCGGTGGATATCATAATAACCACCGATCAGAACCAGTAGAAGACGGAGTGTATGCAGAATCAAATGATTCTTCCAACATTCTGTATGCATTGCAAGCATATATTATTATTTGTATGAAATAATAGAAAGGAAAGGACCAAAAAAAAAAAAGAGTATAATGTTGCAAATAGTGTACCATTCTTTAATGATAAATAGATAAATGAAGCGGAAATTAATTTTATGTATAATCCAATATCTGTGCCGTGGGTTTTTTATCTAATTCTTCTTCCAATTCAAAGGAAAATCGAATCAGAGAATTGGAATTAGATTAATTAACGTCAAATAATCAACAGTCAGTCTTTCTCATTTGAAGAGAGTACAATTTACTTATTCAATTCTATTGATTTTCTTGCACTGCAATGATTCTCTAAAAAATAAACGAAATTTTAAGATATTCTCCTCTTCTTGTTCCTTTGTATATATGTCCCCTGTTGCATTTGAAAAAAATAAACGTTGATCAATAAACATTGCATGTATATCGATCGTGTATATATAGTACATGTAACTAGAATAACTCTCAAACCATCTTCTTCCAACAATCTTTTTTTTTTTGATGAAAATTTAGTCAATGAAACAAACACGTCAATTTAAATTTTTCTTGTACTATGCACAAAAATTGAATGAATTAGACATTCATTCATAACATGAAATATTATGTTTGGTGTGATTTTGAAGAAATGTTGTTTATTAATAATCACAGGTTCTTTTTATACAATGGCCTAAAAATCATATAAAAATCATAATGTGAAGCCAAAATTAAGTCTTTTACACATGGGTAATTGATTATACATCGTCATTATAAATGATTGGTGTGTTTTTGCATTGTTATTATTAATATTAAATAATTATAAGAAGCGTCAGAGTGAAAAAGTCAACACGGCTATCAGATTATCTCTCACATATGGAAAACTGTACATGCTTGGACAATTTGGAAATGTGAAACCATTTGATATGCAATATTTGATTATCGGATGGAAACTTGTAGTTAAACTATCAATCATTCTCTTGTTCCTTGAGTATAGTAGTATATAAGATATAAGGCTAAATTCACCAATCCCTGGTGATACAATGATGCAGTTAAATTTCGAGGAGGGGGTAGTGCTGCCCTGAGGTTTATTGGGAATTGCATCATTGTCAAGGAGATGGCTAAAGCTGGTGCTGGCATTTGGCCGTTTGGCTGACAAAAAATGGATTAATTATTTGTGAATCATTGCGCCCAAAGTCAATAGGATGACCCTTAAAAAGATTGGCTATTGGATCATGGATTACAGCTGATAATTTGTGAGAATCATTAATTTGAAAAATTTTTTTTTGCTACCTTGGCTGTTTTTGCTGGTAGTGTTGGCCAGTTAATGACCAAACATCAATGCTGTTAAAGCCGCTCACTTGTCCAATTCTCTTTTAACTGTGGGAAAAAATTCCATGGTGCACTTGCTGGTTTAGGGAGGCAACTTACTAAATCTGACACTTGTAATCAATTTGAAATTATATATTTTTAGAAACAATTTTAAGGAACTCTACAATTTATAATTATATACAATTAGGAAGCACACATGTACAACACAATATGCACAGCACACAATGTATACATACTAGTGGTTGTATCCGCTGAATGATATTCACCAATTATTCACCAATTATCCGGATGTTGAGTTTTATTGATTGACTAATTGCTCAAACACCCAGATAATCAATGGATACAACCACTAATACATACACAAAAAAAGGAGACTTGTCCACTAAAGTTTTTCCATCACCATTATCCTACTTGGAAAAAAAGCTCAGATTAAAACATCATGGATCTATTCTCCACCTTTCAGTGCACACTTGTGATCAGTCATTCATTTTTAAGGAAATAAAAATTACCACTCTGTCAGATTTTCTCTCATCTTTACTTGTGTATGTGGCTTTTCCAAAACTGGTTCCTTAAAAAGTTTGATTTCTGCATAGTCTTGGTATTATTATTACTACTTGGGTGATGATTTGTTAATTTTAAGAACAATAGTATCACATATATTGCATAACCATCATGAACATTGTAATAGACATACATAACAGTAGGATAAAAGTGTCATTCATGCACACAAGGAAAGGATTAGATAGCATATAATTAATTATACTTAAAAAAAAAATTGCCAGAGCAATTGCATGGAATCCAAGACTACACCAATTAAGCTTGCCCTCTGTAATCAAATATCAAATGTTGCAATGTTGCAACAACCAGCCTCTTTTGTTGCAACAAAGCTGTAATGTTACAACATACCTACAACTTTACATATTACATAAAAACTATACATAGTGTTGCAACATGATCATCATTATTATAAAACATTTGATACAGTCAGGCATCTTTAAAAAGTGACAAACATAGCTTGGTAATGTCTATTACCAAGATGGTTATCACATGTAAAATATTCCCAAGTTTGTTTCTGTTATCAATAGCAAAATTCATCTTTAATTATTATAAAAAAATATGAAAAGCAATGGTTTTAAAATGTATAAAACAACTGGGAAAAGAAATTGATATAACTAGTAAGTGATCTACTTTTTATTTGAATGTAACATTGTAAATTCTGACTTTCCAAATTACAACACCGTAATACTAATACCGTAATGTAAAAATTACAGGTGCCAACTTTAACTACACATTATTAATAATTATAAAACATTATGACCAATCGTCTTATCGACCCCTCAGACAAAAAATCTATTTTTAGTAACAATCCTTTAAAATTGGTTACACCAAGCCCTATATCTCTTCCTCTAGGATCCAATTTTTTTTTTCCAATTGTAATCCTTGTATAATAGATTAATATTAAGTAAGGAAACTCAAAATAAAAAAATCAGCTGAGAGGTTGATTTTCCTAGTCCAAATCCCCATGCAGGGCTGGAAATAGTACCTTAAAAATTCGGATTTTCCTTTAAAAAATTTTAACTTCTGAAAAAAAAAAAGAGTTGCCGGATATTTTTCCTTTTTATTTTTATTTTTATTTTTCCATCCACATAAATACATATATGTGTGTCATTGCTTCAATCTTTTAGAAAAGAACCATAATTTGTATCATTTGAATTTCCAGAAGAAAAGTATTGACTTTAATTTAAATCTTATTTCACTGCTATAAAATTATTAAATTTAAAAATATATACACTTTAAATATGAATTTGTTTTCCCTTATTCAAAAAAAGAAATTTTAAATAAATAATATAAAACAAGAAGAATTAGATAATTTGATTACTGAAATCCGGGATGAAGCATTTATAGATGAATCAAATATTGACGAATCAGATATAGAAGGTTCAGATGATTTGATAATTCAAGGCTCAGGTGATGATGATACTTCAAAAAAATCAAATAAAAAAGTGCATTTTAAAAATCAGGAAGAAGTTTTCAGCATGAATGGCTAAACATATATAAATGGTTAAAATATGATGCAGCAATCAGAGAATGTTTTGCACATTTTGTAAAGCACATGGGAAAAAAAATCAATTTGCAGGAAAAGGTGACAAATAAATATACAGTAATTAATTTTGCATTTGCAATTATTAATTTACTAATATTATAATGTTGTTATTTGGGATAAAATAATGTTTCAAAATCTACTGTTCTAGCAACTCGTACACTTTCAAACCAATATAATGGTTCTTTATTTATAGAAAGGCAAGAATAACCATGCAAGATTCTTCTAAAAAAGCCACTAATAATGGTAACAAACATATGATTAATATTTACTGAATGGCAAAAGAAAATATTCCAATTTCCAAACTTCCAAGTCTTATTTATATCTTAAAACTTATAGAAATAGTGCACTCAATTCCATTTTTTAGTGTAGATTGTGAAAGAGATTTTAGCAAACGGAATATTATCAAAACAGATTTATGTAATGCAATGGAAAATGACACATTGCACTTATTAATGATGGTTGGTTTAGAAGGTACTGATTTATTTGGTTATGATTTTAATGATGCTCTTAGTAAATTTCTTCAAAGTAAAAACAGAAGAATAAAATAAAATAAAATTTAAAAAAATTTTCCTTTAAATTTTTCCGTTTTTTTTTTCAGACCCTCTGGTGCTATGTTACTAATTGTTGTTACATCATTTCTCAACGTTTCATTATCGGAATTTTGTACAACTATAAATTACAAAGTTAGGGAGTCTTTCGTTGCGGTATGCCTATATAACATATGAAGTATTTTGGTAAAAATCATGTTAACTTTACCCAAAATTTTATAATGACCAAATGACCAAGGCAAAATTTTTTTGAGTGTAACTATTACTGTAGGTGCACAAGATATTTATTTCTAAAATGAAATTAGTGAGGTTAGTTATTTAATACGCACACAATAATAAAATTATTATTTTCTTAATTGAATAAACAAAAGATTAATTTGATTTTTAGATTTTTAATGAAATTAAGTAATGAGACAGTTACTATAGAACTTAAAAATGGTACTATAGTACATGGAACAATTACAGGTAATATATATTCGATTAGATGGGATAAATAAAATTTATCCTTGGATCTCACCGCTTGTATATATTATTTATAATTCAGGTGTTGATATGAGTATGAACACACATCTTAAAACTGTTAAGATGACAGTAAAAAATAAAGATCCAGTTAATTTAGATTCTTTGAGTATTAGAGGCAATAATATTAGATATTTCATTTTACCTGATTCACTTCCATTAGATACATTGCTTATTGATGATAATCAAAAGGCTAAAGCTAAAAAAAAAGAAGGTTATTTAAAACATTCTTCATTGTGTTTTTTTGTATTTTTGTCAAATTTTTTTTTTTTAATCAATTAAATTCTTATTATCATTTTTTTATAATATAGTTGTTGGTGTTGGTCGTGGTCGCGGACGTGGCCGCAGTACTCGTGGTGGACGTGGTCGTGGTCGTTGAAAAAACTCATTTGGTGAAATATAGAGTCAATAAAACAACAACAACAATAAAGATTAAGCAATACATTATTATATCTTTATTAAATTTTAAATTTTATTAATTATTAAATAATTGAACCATCAAAGAAAACAACACTTGATTTTAAGGAAGAAGCTAATAATAATAATATTATTATTTTGTTGTTTTATATGAATGCATATCATAACCACACTATATTTTTTAGAAAAAAAATTTTTATTTGCCAAAGAAACAATCAAAAAAACAAACTAGTGTATATGAATATATATATATGTGTGTGTATACATAAAATAATTAGAATATTTATAACAACATGCAGATAGAAAAGACTACTAGCTGCTACTGATTAAGATTATTCATCATCATCATCATCAGAGTAATCACAAATTCAAAATAAGATGGATAAACATTTGTCATGTTATCATAATACCATCATCCATTTGACAATTGATAAAAATCAGCCATCACAAACATTCCAACCATATCATATTGTATTGTTTCAGATTCAAGGTGCGCATCAGGTTTAGAAGAAACAATTGGCTCTTCATATGTTCTAACTGTCATTTTGTAAAGCATAAATTCATCATTTTTATCATCCAAGGAATCGTTGGTATTACTTTGTGCTGTGTTAGTATTGACAATATTAGTAGCAATAAGTTAGATGACGAATTATCTTTCGTATAGCCTGTATTTTAACATCTTTCTTACCACTCATATTAGCATCTTTCTTATCTTTCTTTCTCGCCATCTTTCTCACCACCTATATTGATCTTATTACCTGTATTCACATCTTTCTTATCGCCTGTATTGGCATCTTTCTATTTGATTTATCTATAAAAATAGCTAGATAAACAAATCCTAACTACATATGTAAAAATCCCACTATTAATTGTAAAGTCTGTTTATTTTCGCAAAGCAATACTTCATTGGATTATCTTGTTGATCTAGAAACAAGATAAGAATTAAATACTTGGAAAAATTTATGAGTATCTTTAAATCTTTGTATTGCAGTTTCAATATGAAGTGTTAGTGATCTTGAACTGTTTAAAAAAAACTCCATTTCATTGAGAAAAAAAATTAAAGGGAGGAAATGTTCAAAATTTTAAATATGAGGCTGTCTCCAACAAAATTAACCTCATATGTCTTTTGATCAAATTTGTGTTTTTTATATAATACTATATTAATATCCTATAACATGTAGGTTGTGACTGGTGACCCGCTTGCTTAATATTTATAAAAAATGGAGAATCGTGTACCGGATACTTGTAAATATATTATAATTATAAATTTATCTATATATATACATAACCTATTTTTATTGTTACACACAATAAAATCGGCCAAAATTTCTTGTTTTCTAAATTTGAATAATATTTAAAAATTTGGGCAAATTTTTTTTTATGTGTAACAACAAATTTTTGTGCTTGAATATATACTAATATATACACAAAATGAGTTATTTATATATATACCATATCATTATCATCAACTTCTAATCAACTCTTTTTTTGTCAATCATTGTTAACATTGGACCATTGCAGATCGAGTGTCATTCAATATAAATGTTACACGAATAAAATATTGTCCACTTTGAAAAAAAATCTCCGTTTTTCATATACAGCTACTCTCTCTATAACAACCCTCTCTATAACGACCACTAAGTAAAATTTCTCTATAACAAACTTCCCTTTTGTCCCCGTTTCAATTTTTTATAA